TACATATATATACAACTGCGATGTCATTAGATATATAGTTTGTTTCTCGTGTTTTTGCCACTTTGTTTGTGCCTGATTGACTGTTGACAGCGCAAAGCAGGCGCACAAAGTCACCTACCTGGAAGGCACTTTGGCTACTCCTTTTCTTTTTAATAATAGGGAAAAAAAAAGAGGTTAAAGTATATTGCTTGACCTACTGAAAAAATTTGCAGAGACTCCCTTGCCGTTGTCCTCCTGGATAACCCCATCATACCTCCCACCCTGGCCTGACCACCTGAGAAGTCTAATCAATCCCAGATCACTTCAAATGGACTCACCTAGCTTGCTTTTGTTTTTCCTCGTAAAGATGCTAAAGAATCGAGATAACTTTAACTACTCCCACCGTTACTACTTTCACCAGCCTCGTGATCTAATAGAAGAATTGCTTCATCTTTTTCTTGTTCTGCAGATCCAGAACCACATTTATTCGATGCCAAGTCTCTGTTACAAGGTTCCTAGCACGGCAAAATGCCATGCTTCTGTGGCAACAAGTTACATGTATGTAATTCTGAAACCAAAGCAGTATCCTTACTTATGTGCATTTCATCATTTTGGTACATATGGTTGTGGATCAGCTAAATCCATACCCAGCAATACCCTCATGACTTTAAGCTATGTTCTGATGGTTTAACTCTTAGCAGGGAAACATCAGAGGTCACTGGTTTGGACTGGGATAACCTTGGCTTTGGCCTCATCGAGACTGATTTTATGTATGTTGCAAAATGTGGACCTGATGGAATCTTTTCCAAAGGTGAAGTCCTACCTTTTGGTCCTATAGCACTGAGTCCTTCTGCTGGAGTCTTAAACTATGGACAGGTTAGTAGGGAATCTTCCCACCCTGTTTCATATCTTTATCTCTACTGGATTGGAACAACTATAACCTGGCAATTAGGTATCTTTGAAGGCCTACTAGTATTGAGTATGCTTATTCTATGTTATTCTGGTACGCAGGGATTGTTTGAAGGCCTAAAAGCATATAGGAAAACTGATGGGTCCATCCTTCTATTTCGTCCAGAGGAGAATGCTATAAGGATGATAAGTGGTGCAGAGAGGATGTGTATGCCTGCTCCAACTGTTGAGCAATTCGTTGATGCTGTTAAACAAACTGTTTTGGCAAATAAAAGATGGGTTAGTAATAGTAATTCGTGTTTTCATAGGTGATAGTATTAGGCTACATATTCAATAATACTTTATTTAGTGAACCATTATCCCCTTGCTAACATATCTTTTTTTTTCCCTTGAAATGAAACATATCATGTTTCTAGGTGCCTCCTACTGGTAAAGGTTCCCTGTATATCAGGCCACTCCTAATAGGAAGCGGGGCTGTTCTTGGTCTTGCACCTGCTCCTGAGTATAGCTTTATCATTTTTGTATCCCCTGTTGGGAATTATTTCAAGGTCCGTATTGAGTTTCCTTTTACTTTAAATTCCACCAAAATCTGTAGGCACTAGGCACTCATCCAAAATGTAAACTGGACCTAGAGCAAATCGTTACAACCTGTGTTCTTTCCTGCTCAGTGGACAGTGATATAGGATAGCTTAGTGATAATAGTGTAGAATATGAACTCTTCCTTTTGTCACGCATCTAAAATAGTTTGTTTCAACAATGCCAGTATATATGTTGATTGCCTTTGTTCATTTTATTCTACAGGAAGGTTTATCTCCTATTAATTTGATCGTTGAGGAGAAATTTCACCGTGCCAGCCCTGGTGGAACTGGAGGCGTGAAAACCATTGGAAACTATGCCTCAGTAACTTTATGAATTAGCAATTATGAAATTTCTATAAAAGCCCCAGTTTTGTTACTTAATTACATACATTGTCATCACCGTATAGGTACTGAAAGCACAAAAGGTTGCAAAGGGGAAAGGATATTCTGATGTCCTTTACTTGGATGCTGTTCATGACAAATATCTTGAAGAAGTCTCTTCCTGCAATATTTTTGTTGTGAAAGTATGATCCTTCACTTTGATGTCTTTTCTATTTTGGCAGTATATCTCCTTCATAGCTGCAGTTAAGAGTAGACTTTAGTGCTCAAGGCATGTAGTAGTGATAACCACACCATTTTATCAGCATTCTAGTTATCCACGACTTTTTCTTTAACCTATGCAACATCCTTTGGTTGATTAACATACTATTTTATGGGACAATGCTATGATGGGCTTATTTTTTTTCTTTTTGCACCAGGACAATGTTATTTCTACTCCTGCCATTAAAGGAACAATACTGCCTGGTATAACAAGGAAAAGTATCATTGAAGTTGCTCAGAGCAAAGGCTTCAAGGTAATTTACTTGTCAGTCTCATGGATTTAAAGAAATGGGGGAAGAAATGACTGCTGTATCAGTGCATTTTAGCTGCAAGTTAATTGGCCATACATATAGTTTTAAGTTTTAACACACCAAATACTTTTTGCCTGTAACTTGTTAGCATAGGTAGAAGGATATGTGAAATCATTTTAGCTGCAAGTTAAGTGGCCATACATTACAGTTTTAACACATTAAATACTTTGGGCCTGTAACTTGTTAGCATAGGTAGAAGGATATGTGAACTAGGCTCAACGCATCATATGCTGCCTCCAATATAATGCAGTCTTAACTAATGCATTGGCTTCTTGTAAGGTTGAGGAGCGCCTGGTGTCAGTAGATGAGTTGCTTAACGCTGATGAAGTTTTCTGCACGGGGACTGCTGTTGTGGTGTCACCTGTGGGGAGCGTTACATATATGGGGAAAAGGTGGCACTTTCTCTCTTGCCTTGCAAGTTTATTTTCTATTGAGTATGCATGTGTGATAAACTAGACATTTGTTTTTTTGTGATAACACTTTTTTTCTCTCGGATAGGACATTTCCTTTTCTTGCAATAGCAACAAGAGTTTAATACTGAAATAAAGCATGATGAACAAATCGATTTTGGAAATACTCAAATATTTATTGCACTAGTTATGATCTTTTACAGTACTGTTGTGATTACTTCATGGTTTCTGAGTCGCCTAGGCGTTGAGGCATACCCCAAGTGCCACAGGACGCCACAAGGTTTTAGTTACTGTCATATCACCTAGGCATCCAAGCATACCCCAGCGCCACAGTGCCTCAAAAACTATGGATTACTTTTGTGTAATCATTTCTTCTGTATGCTGTCCCTTTCTCTCTTTTTTTTCTTGGAAATGCTGGTATATGGATGTTGGTACCTTGATTTTACCTGCCATGACATCTTCATGATATAAGGGTGTGTTTGGTTTGAGGAACCACCCCATACTAGATGTGGTGGTGCATCATGAGCAGTAGTTCATCACATGAATTTTGGTGGAATCAACATATTCCTCATACATATACTAATTGATAGCTTGTGAGTAATGAGGTGGTGATGGATAAATCCATTCCATTCCACGAACCAAAAAACGAAAAAAGTCAGGAATGAGAAGATGATGGTGACCACCTCATTCCTCAAACCAAACACCCCATAAGTTCCTTTCTTGCGATCCTTGAACGTAGCATTGTATGCTATGCCCCAGCCATTTGGACCGAGGTCTTTTCTGCTGCTTTTATCAAAAGCAAAAGGTAATTTGACATGGAATCCAGTATAAGTGTGTGGGTGGTAACGTTCACTGAGGCTGATGACTGTTGCCTTATGTAACAGCGATCAGTTTCACCACTGCAATGAAGTTTCTTTTCGTGAACGTGCCTCAGCATGCATTCCGTTAAGAGGACAAACTGCTAATGAAGTTACAGAACCACAATCGTACTTGTTGCATTCTCGATTTGTAGAAAGTGGAAACTGACAGAGTAATGTGCAGCTATGTTGGAATCTGACATCCTATGGCATTGGTTTGCAGGGTGGAATATGGCAACCAAGGAGTCGGTGTCGTGTCTCAGCAACTATACAAGTCACTTACAAGCCTCCAGATGGGCAATGTGGAGGACTGGATGGGTTGGACCGTGCAACTTAATCAGTAGCGGGTTCTCCACAGATATTGCCTTGGCAGATCCCCAGATCATTACAGCTAATGGGTGCGATAGTTTGTTTACTTGTCAGTTTTTGCAGATCCCTCTTGAGTTGGGTTCCTGAGGTAGACTACAGACCTCACGCATATGTACTGTGTCAGTATCTGTTTCCCTTGCGACCACAGCATATAGTAGAGCAGTAAGATGAATGTGCTGCTGCTTACTAGCCCCGCGCTCCTGACCACAAGAACACTGAAGCACTCTTGTTGTTATTTTGCTGATCTTTTGTTTCAAAGCAATAAAATAAAATCTGTGGTTTGCACCATGCCATGTAAGAATAGCCCAAATTCTTTCATGATGCTGTTGTTTGATATCTGAAACTTTTTGTCTGCTGCAGCGGCAATCATGTCTCTGCTTGGCAGAGCTGTTGGCCTGTTGCTCAACTCGGTGCAGTGGCACTAAGTTTTTGCTTTGTAATTTGTACAGATCCAAATTCTATCGGTATGTTGATGTTCTACCATATGCCGAAGTGTACAATTTGAACATATTACGACGTGGTTTGATTCCGTTCCTCGTTTTGTAAGAAAATAGGTTCATTCAGGAGACATTAAAGATGTTTTAAGTGCCATGAACGGTGGTTTGATTTGATTCCGTTCCTCGTTTTGCCTCCGTATAGGTTCATTCAGGAGACATTCAGATGATGTGCCATGCATTTTGTTTCAAAAAAAAACGTTTCGGCCCAGGTGTCAGTGGCACTGGCACCTAGCGAAGAGAAGTAGTGCTTGTACCCGTACAGCACGTCAAGTGGGCCCGGTCGCCCTAACAGAATTGCCTAGTACACGGGCCCGCATGGCAGGCAGGGTGGGCGAATATAACTGTCCACGCCAGCCAGGCAGAGCAGAAAATTCAAATTCGCAGCGCCTCCCATTCCATTGCTCTGCTCCTGCTCGGCTGCTCTTCTCTCACCGGCGATCACCACTGCCGCCGCCGCCTCCTCGCTCGAGCCCGCTCCGGGGAGCAGGCCATGAAGCTTAAGATCAACAAGGCGTGCGACCTTGGCTCCATCTCCGTCCTCCCTCCCCGGTGAAATCCCCGCTCTCAAATTCCTCTCCCTCTCGCCGCGGCTGCTCCCGCTGTTCTGACACATGCGATCGCTTCGTCCTGTGTTTCTGATGCTTTCAGTAGGACCGGAGGGAGCGGCGGCGCAGGCGGGGCGGGTTCCTCCGCCGCGGCCGTGGCGGCGGGGTCGCAGCAGCAGCAGCGGTCGCAGCCGATGTCGCAGCAGTCCTTCTCGCAGGGCGTTGTGGGGAGCGGCGGCGCGTCGTCGCTCCTGCACTCGCAATCGCAGCTCTCGCAGGCCTCCCTCGACGAGAACCTCCTCAGCCTCCGCCTCGCCTCGCCCGCGCGCGATCAGGTCCCGTCTGCACCCATTCCTCCCTCTCGTCACTGTTCATGTGTGCTGATCGTGATCGGGGATGCGCGCCGTTGTGCTCTCATGTGTGATGAACGGGATTAGCGGTTTTGCTTCATCAGTGAGTTCGCGAAGGGGCGGTTAGTGGTTGGGGGATTCTGTGATTACCGTGCTAGTTGCGGCAGGTTGGTCGTTTTGGATTAGTTGCTTCAGGTGATTTCAGTTGTGCTTGATCCATGCGTGTAAGGAACACTTCAAATTGATGCGTTGCCACATTTAATCGCAGAATTCATAAAAGCATGTTCTGCCTGAGGACCTTTCAGGTCTACTAGTAGGGCGGCCTCAGTTGCAAAATTTTGTAGGATGTAGAACCACAGTGCATAGATTCTCCAATTTCCAACGTTTTAGCTGCCTAATCAATTCCGATCAGTAAAAGTGTTTGCTCTGGTACTAGCACCATCTTGACATCTCTTTGATTCAGCATGTACTGAAGCTTTCAGGGAGTAGATCCCATATTCCCACCATGACTGTGAGACTGTTTGAACTTTTGAATTTGTGTGAGTCTGTTTGAAATTATGGTTCCATTATGTTAGTCCAGCAGTATGCAATTTGGTCACGATATTTTCTGACTCTCAGCAGTGACTTATGCTTTATTCTTGAAGGCATGATGAGTGCCCAATGTGACAATGCTCTTTCTGCTCATGTTTCACTTAGAGCACCTGTGCTTCTTTTGCTTGGTCAATTATGACCTACAATCTAGTTTTCAAAGATGTATAATTATGGTTTATTGCATAATTATGACCTCCATTTTCTTTTGCTTGGTGATCAGAGATTCGGGTTACATGACGACTCATCAAAGAAGATGACATCTTTGCCTGTCAGCTCAGCTTCTTGTGTGCGAGAAGAATCTCAGCTGCAACTGGCAAAAACATCAGGCAACCCTGTCCATCGATGGAACCCTTCTCTTCCTGACGGTAGATGTAAACCCTCCAGACCCCTGTGCTGCATTTGGTATAATTTTCAGTTTATTCGTACGAGCACAGTAGTATTTCAGAATAACTGGGGCCACAGATGATTGTGTTTTAATTAGGTTCATTCTTCTTATCTCATTCACTGTGTATCCAGACTATTTATTGAGCTCCATAGTTTCGTTGTAGCTCTATTTTGATTTGTGTGCCTAACAGGCAGTGTTTTAACAGGTGTGGTTCCTACTGAGGATGTTGAGCGCAAATTTCAGCATATGGCAAGTTCGGTGCATAAGGTAGGGATGGTGCTCGATTCAGTGCAAAACGACGTTATGCAGTTAAACAGAGCCATGAAGGAAGCCGCACTAGATTGTAAGTCCTATTGGTACCTGAATTTGGTACTGCAGAAGTTTCTCTTTGCTTATGAGTTTTTGCACTATAATTATGTTCTGGCACACCACTGAAAGCATGCATTTGTCATGTTTAGCTGGAAGCATACAGCAAAAGCTTGTTGTCCTAGACACTTTGCTGCAGAAAAATGTAAGCATAAATCATGCTTCTGTCCTTCATCCTCCTGCGTTCTGTTTTGACAGACAACGAAGTTTCACTAATTTATTTATGCTGTTGCAGCTTAAGGGACAAGATGATCTCAAAGCGCTTGTTGAGAGCAACACCAAAAGCATCTCTGATCAGCTGACTGTTCTGAACTCCCACTCCAACAAACTGGATGAGATATCCTCAACCCTTTCAATCTTGCCGAAACAAATAGAAACAGATTTAAAGCAACAGCAGAGTGACATCATCAGAATTTTTAGAAAAGACATCGAGGTAGCCCTTGGGTTTCTTATGCTATGATTCACCTCTAATTTCGATATGAATCCATTAATTCCATTTGTCTTTTGGGTTCTTCTGATGGTTGGCATGTGCGCACAAATAATTATCTTACCAACTTGCTAGTTTCTGAGTTTCCCTGTCATCTCAATAGATGTCAGTTCGGTTTCACATAAACATACAAGCTAGCTCAAATTTGGAGATGGCTCAAATTATATGGTCAATCTCGCATTCTATTTTGCATTCTGAAACCATTGCCACTCGTATCCCATTTTGCATTCTGAAACCATGTCACTTGGGTTGCTGAAAAAGACAATGCAGAGCCACTGTTTGGACACTGGCTGATCATTGTCTCTTTGTGCAGGAGATTGTTAGAGCTGTCAGATCTCTCAACAGTAAGATTGATGCAATCCAAATGCCAACAGTATGTATTCATTACTATAGTAAGCAAGTCAAAGTTCCATCTGTATCTCCTCTCTTAGTTTCTATGTTTTTCATCTTGACTGAAGGACCAGAGATGCACAACCAATGGAAGGCCCCTGATGAACCAACTACCATTCGATAGAAATGAAAGGCCCCAGGTGAACCAAACACCAGAGGTAACCCGGGTGAGCCAAACACCAGTAGCAAGTTTGGTGAACCAAACACCAGCAGCAAATGGAAGGAACCTGGTGAGCCAAACACCAGTAGCAAATGGGAAAACTCTGGTGAGCCAAACATCAGTAGCAAATGGAAGATCCCTGATGAGCCAAGTACCAGCAGCAAATGGGAAACCTCTGACGAAAAGAACATCAGTAGCAAATGGAGGATCCCTGATGAGCCAAGTACCAGCAGCAAATGGGAAACCTCTGACGAACCAAATACCAGCACCAAAGGGAAGACCCATGATGAGGCAGAAAACAGCAGAAAGCGGAAGGCCCCAGATGAACCAAATACCTGTAGCAAGTGGATGGACCTATACAAACAAAATACCCGCACCAGAAGTGTAATATTCTCAACTCAGTTTCGTACAAGCAACAGTTATATGTTTTATTCTTGTAGAATGGAGCATTGAACTAGGACTTCTCTTAATGGTTGTTAATCAAAATGCAAAGTAGCTGCTCTAATCTTGATATCCTAAAAAAAAGGGTGTTGATATTGTTATGTGCTAACCTGAAACCTGATTAAAGTTTCATCATTGGGTGCATGTTCTTTTAAAATGGCTGCTTCCTTTTTCATTACATCTGGTTCATGACATCAGTTCAAGTGTTGAAATGGCAGCATGTTCAAAGGCCATTGCGGTGGAATGTTGGTTTGTTGTATTAACCTTGCATTTTTTTCTCAGTTTTATTGGTTTTCCTATATGAAATTATGAGGGGTAGTAATTTCATTGTACTAGCATGGCTTTTTTTTCCCATTTGCACTGATTTTCATCATGTAAGTTTAAGTTGTTTCTTGTCAGTTGCATTACTTACACGACTGACACTTTATGAGTATATATACTAGCACTATATTGGTAGCTGCAGTTTTTGTTGTATGTTGAATTCTTGTTGTACGGAGCATTTAAGTGGTGTTTGGAATATTGCCGAGCAGAAGTTTCAGAAACTGCTATATGCTTTTGAGAAAGCTGAATGAACATCCATCCTTAGAAGTTAGAACCATGAACATTTGATAAGAGGTCATTTTACTGCATCTAGTTAAAAGTCTTGATATGTTCGTCGTTTTTTTCATGAGGAAGATGGCAGAATGTTCTAGTCTGATTTCAGTTAAACCAGATTAGTTTGGTGTTTTTCAGGTGCATCGCAGACATAACATCGGTTTCTGGATTTTGGTCTTCTGCGTCTTTGTCTGATGATTGTATCGTGTTGTGACTAGGCTTGCTTACTGATGGCAGGCATCCTGCGCCTTTGGTCTGCCCTGCAAAGGCAGCAGCAGACCAGGTAGACGACGGAAAACTGAAAGTGCTTCCCCAAAAGCTAACTGGTTCTAGATCCAGGGTGACACCTAAACAGGAGGAAGCGGTGAGTACAAAGTTCAGCCGGGCAGCGGCAACTGAGAAGGTAAAACCCGCAGTAGTACTTTGGCAACTAGCTAGAGCATGCGCTTTGCCTGGCTTTTTGTGTCGATGAGCGTCAGAGCGTGTGTGTGATGGTGGGTTGCTTGTGAAACTGCTGAATGAAACGCATGCAGGTGGTGATATTCATCGACGACTCTGACGATGACAGCGACGTCCGTGCTTCTTCGTGCGTGATCCTCAGGTCCTCGGGATCAGGCAGCTTAGGTACGTAACACTAACACTGGGGAGCGAGCATTTCAGAATCAGGTAGCTCTGCTTATGGATAGTACATACATAGTTTGATCTGAACAAGAAAGACGTGGGCTTTATTTGTGCATGCAGATGCAGGTGCAGGTGAGAAGGAGTGCGACCTGATGAAGGTGGGCGCGGAGGAGAGCCAGGAGATCCTGCGGAGGGCCAGGAAGCGGAGGAGAAGAGAAATGCAGACCATTGTGGCCTGCAATTGCATGCCCCCTGAGGTTGGGTAGCAGTTCTGATCGGTATGATTGATTGATGCAATCGGTAACGGTAAGTCAGTGATTGGAGCAGTGTTTTGCACTGCACGCATGGATAGAAAAGGAATAGTAGATGGGTAAACATGAATGAAAGACCGGAGAAGGATCAAGGGGTTATATTATATGCATAGACAGAGTTAGTTGTGGTGTGTGTTGACTGTTTATTGTGTTATACTAAATCATAGAGTACTCTAGCTGAGTCTAAATCATATTGGATGGTGGGAATGAAATCACTACTACTAGTATAGTAGATACTCCTATATAACTAGACTAGAGGATCAGTAGTAGGTATTGAAAGAATTGAGCAGGATTGTTTTGTTGGTATGGTTTTGTGCCCTGATCGATCTGATGAGTGATGACCGGCCGTGATCCGATAGATTGATTGGTTGATTCTACAGTGGACCATTTATGCCTGCCTCTTGCTTGTCTGTTTGTTGTTTGCCGCTAGCACTAGCAGCAGTAGGTTCTGCGCGCGTTGCCGGATGACTGGTAACCGGCCTGGACTGGTGGCCTCTTGTCGAGTGAATGTGAATCTGGCAATCTTCTGGGCTGGCTAGTGCTGCGTGGTAGTAGTAAGGGCGCGTTTAGATGCAAATTTTTTTGGTTTTGTGGCACTTTCGTTTGCACTGCTCTGTCTTATGCTAATTAGGTGGAAAGTTTCGCGTCATCAATTGTTTTTTTTCATTACTATATTTGGTCGCAAGATTCGATATGATGGGTACTGCGCAAATTTTTTTGGAAACTAAACATGCCCTAAGTAGTAGGCAAATGTGGCCCTGCACTGCTCTGCTGCGTGGTCGTCATCGTGTGGCTAAAAGGAAAATAATGGGACTGGCACTGCACTGCGACTGCGAGCGGGCCTTTTACGCTGGCAAATGCATGCAGTTGTGGGGTTGCTGCACGCATGGGGCGGGCGGGCGGGCGGGGGCGGGCTAATCGATCGATCGAGCAGAGGAGACTGGCGCACGCGGCGTATGATGATTCCAGACAACGGAACAGGCACTGCTAAACTGCTCGTTTAATTACACTGTTACATTACGGTAGTTGGGATTGGGAGGTAATAATTTGATAGGCGGAGTATTAGCAGGAACAGGATCCATACTCACAGTCACAGGCAACCCAACAGCATGATGCACACTGCACGCGTGTGTCTGCGTAGCCATGGATACTACCACTACGTACGGTACCCACCATCGATCCGCGCTTCATTGCAGGCGTGGCTCAAGAAAACGCATCAATTAATTCAACGGACGGCGAGGATGAGATGCTGTTTGGTGGAGTATAAGTGGGCAAGTAACGACCGCCTCAGGCGGCGGCTGCTGCTGCGTAGACAACACCACCCTGCTAGCAATCAATATATTTGTATATATCGCTAGCCAAAGTTTAGAAATAAAGTTTAACCTGGTAGAACAAAACTTAAATGCCCTCTCCACAAGCTAATAAGGTTATTGTAGCTGTCGTCGCAGCAGCAATGCAACAACGATGCCGACACTCTTTATTTTGATCCAGTCTACGCCGGGGCGGGTGCACTATATACGTGTACCGCATCACACTGAAGATGATGAAGAATCGAGCATTAAACATATCTCCGAGGGCACAAGGGCTGATCATGCATGCATACATGCGATGCTATCATCTAGTAAGACACACTCCACTTTTGTGTCCATGTACAAGCCAAGACGCGCAAATCACCAATAATTAATCTAATTAAATTAATATATAGTGAAGTCACACAACTATATATGGTGAATCTCTTGCATGTGTACAACTGTCAACTACAGTAATAACTTAATCCACACCTCCACTTACGCTTAGAGAGGCTGCTATAAATATGATGTGCCGGCCACTCAAATACTCAATCGTCTATCTGCCTTCGATTCTACTAGCTCTCTTCTCTAACACAACACCAACAATGACCTAGCGTGTAGTAAACAAACAATGACCGTATCATTATATTGGGCGGTTGGGCCTGCTCTGGGGAACGTATATATATATCGAGTAGCAAACAAGCAATCATGCTGTTCATCGTATGTATCCTCCATGGCCATGACCGCCCGTGCATCGATCTGTTACCGTTTCCCTACCACATTGTTAATTTGTTGTGCTTGTGTTGCCTGCAACAGCGCAGCCTCGGATCCATTCGCCTCAGAATCATATTCCCCCCAAAAAAAATATATTTTTATAGGTTTAGTCACAGTCAAAATATATAGCATAAGTTTACATAATAAGTTTATAAAGTAAATATTAACATTTATGACACCAAAAAGGAATACTATGAAACCATATCACGTAACAAATAGAACGGTAATAATTTGATATCATGGATATTGATGGGTTCTTTCTATAATTTTTTATTAAACTTAAAAAAAAGTTTGATTTTGACTAAACCTATAAGATCATTTTTTGGGGACATGGATCCAAAGAGACCTAGTAGCTAATTGTTATATTAGCTATGTAATATATACATTAGAACATGGATAACATGCATGTATGCCGACCTCCCAAACAGTACACTGTAGTGCAAGCTTTTGATAGGGTAAAAAATGAAATAAAAATGCTATGTGACAGAGACTGAGAGATATGGAGTGGTGGGTTCACAAAATATATTATGAAACTGAAGAATGGGACAAGCACTGCTTTGCTTAGTAATTAATTTGTTTATGGTTGGGAGTTGATCGACACTCACTGCGGCCTGCAACCCACTACCACGCATACGCATACGTGGTGTTGGTGACGGTGGACGTGGTGGTAATATATATTATTTCTACTACTGCTACATAATATAAAATAATGGTGGTGCTTTGTTTAGCTGAATACTAGCTGGGAGTTGGTAACCAATTCGATTGTCAAAATCGAAGATGTCTCCTCTCCTGGCAATATATAAATCTAAGGAATTCCTCCATTGTGGTGATGAAGATGATGATGATGAGTGCGAATTGCAAGTCACATGAACATAACCGAATGGCTGTCATCATATTGAGTCGTCATGGCATGCAGCGTGCGTTTGTTTGCTGTTCCATGGAATGGAATGGGAGGCAAAGGGAGGGAGAGAGTCACGTTGCATTGCATATATCTCTGTTCTCTGGTACTACTACTAATCAAGTAATCAGTGCAGTGCAGTGGAGTGGAGTGGAGTGCAGAGCAGGCAAAGGAAAGGTGCAAGTTGTTTGTGACCTCGCTTCAGACGGCACTACTGGAATGAGTGATCGCTTTGCTGCTGGGTGGTGTATCTATCCGTGTGCACTGGAATGTGGAATCTAGCATGGCAGTGGCATGCATTCGACACCAAAAGGAAAAATGGAAATTGGACCTGTCTTTAATTAATTTTGGCCCTTGTTTGTGCACGTTGCTCCTGCTGGCAACACACAAGAATCCAGAGCCACTAGGTACAGAGAGAGACGTATGTGGATAGTAGACAGGCATGCAGGCACCAGGTAGCGTCGTATCCAATCCGTAACTTGACTACTGCTACTGCTACCACAGGCTTATTATTGGCGGGCAGGCAATTACCAAAAGGCTGGAATGGAAGCTGGATGGATCGGCCGGCCGGAGCAAAGTTTGCCAGCCTGCCTCACACTTTTCGCTGCAGGTGGAGGTGGGGAAAAGGTTAAGCTAGGGTAGCGTGCGCTTTGCTTGTGCATCAGTGCATGGCATGTGCTCCGATCCTCCTCCTGGCCCTCTCCTCCTCTCCTCGGGCCGCCCATACTCCGCCTCCAGAGTGCCATATATAGCTTGGTGATAGCTGCCCCTGCATTCTCCTTTCTCCTTTCTCCTTTCTCCTTTCCTTCTTCTTTCTTCCTCCCTTCAAAAATCACAAGGCCGGGGAGAAAGATTGACACGTACGTCAGGTAGAAGCAGAAATGGAAAAGCAGCAGACCCAAAGGTAGCGGTAGCACGCACTGGGTACTCACCGACGGCACAGACTGCTTGTTTGCTACCTTGGCTCTTCTGATTCCTTCCTTCCTCCATCGTCGTCATCGTCGTCGTCGCCGCCGTTGTCGCCGCCGCCGTCGCTCCCTCGCCAGGCCATCACGACGACTTCCCATGCTTGGTCGTCCTGCCATCCTCTTCTGAGGCGAGGCTTCTCCCGGCTCAACTGAAATCCACGGCCGTTGATTGAAGCTCCGCTCCCTGTACGTACGTGCAGCTCTGCTCTCTCACTTACCAGGTAGGTGCAGTGTAGGTCACTGCTTCCATTTTGCATCACTAACTCTTAGCCTCTTAGCTGTTGGGTTTCCTTCGTCATTTCTACCTACCCAGTACCCACCACTTGCGCCCATATCAATTACTGATTCCAATAGCACATAAATTGAGCTGTATGTATTTTCATACTACGTAGGTCGTCCTGAAAATACTACATGATTTGTTTCCCCTTCTCAAAATACTACATTATTTTTTAGCATATTACCACATGATTTCATACCTTAATTTGAGTTAATCAACAGTTCATAAAAAAAAAACCAAACCGGCTGCTTTTACTGTTTGCTCGCTTCATCAGCTGGCTGCAAATCTCACAGGGACCACACCCACTTCCTACAGAAAAGATCAATTGGCTCGATGAACTAAGCAATGAGGACAGCATAAGAGATCAAATTACAAGTGCAGAGTACTGGGAAAAATAATTATAGGTAAGGAACACCAAAATGGGGAAGAGAAGACAGAAGCGGCTTATAAGACGCCAGGACAACAGCATAGGCTGCATGGCAGGCCTCATCCGCATGTTCTATTCCCGCCATGACGCCAATAAGCTCCTGTTGGATAGGAAGCAAGGGAGCAGCAGAAGGCACACTTTCAGTGGCTTTCCTGGTAATTTTCTCTCACACACTTAAATGGTTGTTTCACTGTTGTCAATTTACCCGATAATATATGGAATTCTGATATTGTTGATCAAAGCAATAAGAGACAGGGATTGCTTTATTATGATATAAGCAGCTTGGTGAAATTGTGTCAGTAAAGTATGGCAACATGATCTT